AAAAAGCCGGGTTTTGACACCCTTTTATTTATGTTGTTGCTTTGACCTGCCAGATTAACATTATGTAAGTGGGTGTTATGTTTCATGTACTCAGGGTCTGGTTTGTAGTAAGAGTGGTAATTATTCTTTTACTCAAGAACTTTTAAATCATCTTGGCTTTGTAAATGCTTTATGCTTTAATCAGGAAGGCAATATTCTTTTCTCAGGAGATAAACAAGGTGTTATTCTGGTGTGGAATGTTGATGTTATGAAAAAAGATAAAGGAAAGAAAAAGCCAAAGATTCTTTCTTTGGAGCGTGAAGTTAAAATGAACGATATTATTGGGAACACCATAAACAGCATCTCTTGTCATCCTAGTGGGTTTCGCTTGATGGTTCATACAAGAGACAGTCAGATAAGACTTGTCAATCATAAACATTGGACAATAACCCACAGACTTCGAGGCTTATTAAATGTTCGAGAGCAAATGCGAGGTTGCATTAGCCCGTGTGGTACCTGGGTGATATCAGGTAGTGAAGATGGCGGACTTTATGTGTGGAATTCAGATACAGGGGATATGGTTTCAGCTCTAATGAACCTACCAATAGAGGGAACTATCTCCTGTGTTGACTATCACCCACTTGATCACATGATGGCTCTGTGTTCTTATTCTAATGAAACCCTGTTCTTATTTAGGTTATAACCAAGAAAGTATGTCATCTAATACAACTGTCCCAATGTCTGTCCAACCAGCTACCTCAAGAAGCTTACAAACATCTCTACCAAGAAGTCCAGGCCCTAGTCACCTGCCATTAAAACAGCTTTTATCCCCAAATCTCAAATACCAAAGTCATATTAATCCCAAAGCCATGTCTTCTCCAGCAAAATCCCTCTTAAATTCTGGGGAGGAGAGAAAATCAGAAATAAAAACTTTTACATACAGTCATTCAGTCATGGAGAAAAAGCATACAATCTTTACTGTGAGCAGGCAGTACTTGTTGGATAATGATCAGACACTGAACAAAGGAGGACTCAGACATCATCATGGGGATAAGATCTTAAAGAAATTAGATTCTGTGTTGAAGATGGCAAGTGAGGATCCATTAAACATGAGTGGCAACAGAGTCATGTAAGATCATATTTTAAGTTCCAATCTACTTAAGTTAGCATATTACCTTCAGGTTAGTTTACCATTTTACTGTGTTGATGAATATTGATACACAAAAGGCTGAATGTCAAATTTCTGGATGTGCATATGTCTAGAGTAACTGACATGTCTGATCATTATTTAGTTATAGCTAAAGTAAAAGGATGGTAGAGCATAAGAACAATGGTGTCAGTGGGTGAAAGAGAAGCAAAGTAAAAGATAATGAATGTATGTGGTGGGAGATTTTCTAGTCATGTTTTGCTAATGATACACTGCTTTTGAGATGTTTAGAAGAAAAATTGCAGAGGTAGGTTAAGTAATTTAGGAGGGTGTACAAATGAAGGTAGTTAAAAGTAAACAGAAAATTGCAGTGTGATGAGAATATAAAGATGTCTATACAGTGAAATATTTAACATTAGGTTGTTTGGAGGTAGCATGGCAGCAGTGTTTTTGTTTAGATTTTTGGAAGTGGATATGTCAATACATAAGTTTTTGAAAGTTGAGTTGGGTTACATAATAGACAAGGACAAGGAGGAGAGGTTTGTGTAAAAGAAATGTTTTTCAGTGGATACGTGTAAGTACTGTTGAAGTGATAAGGCTCTGAACATCCAGTGATCATGCAAGCATGCTAGATTGTAGTGAGTGTAAACAAGTGGGTTTTGGGATCTGATATGCTGTTATAGTATAAGCAAGGTAACCATGAAGAGATTCAAGAAAACCAACTAGTTGAAATTGAGTTTTGGAAGTGGTAAGTATAGTGCCTACACTCTGTAGCATGAGTGGGGATATACAGTTTGGTGGTTCATGAAATATGATGCCAGTGCACTTCTGGAAAGGTAACTAGGGAGCGTGTGATGGTGAATATATTTCCTTTTAGGGTATCCTACCATGGTGGGAAATAGCTGACATGTTAGAAAAATCATAGTTCAGGATATGTAAAGTGCCTTGCACCTGGAGGACAGGTGGTGATATTGCGTTTTGAACAGAAGTATCAGTGCTCCTCTGGCAAAACAGTGATGGAATGAGTGATGGAAAAATGTTTCTTGTTTTTGGGTCATGCTTCCTTGGTGGGAAACGGTTGTTGTTTTTAAAAAATGATCCAAATACTTTCACCATACTCTTCTTATTGGTGTTACTCTGCTAATGTTTTTCAGTAGTACTTGTCTGAATGCATTTACACTTTTGTCTATGCTTCTTTGTGCTTACATGCTTGAGTAATATTTGTTTGTGTTAGCAAGTTGAGTAAATTAAATTTATTCTTCACCTGGGATTATACCCAGAAGACTGACTATTGAGTGTGCTCATCCTAGGTGTGCTTATTTTTAATTTTTAATTTCTTCTTTCAACAAACTGGCCATATCCCATTGAGGTAGGTGGCCCAAAAGGAAAAGCTAAAGTTTCTCCTCTTAAATTTAATGTATACAGGAGAAGGGGTTACTAGCCCCTTCCTCTCGGCATGTTTGTCGCCTCTTATGACATGCATGGCTTACTGAGGAAGAATTCTGTTCCACTTCGCCGTGGAGAAATTTTTAATTTGTTTGTTTTATTTTCAGAAGCAGCTGTGGTGAAAGGCTTTTACCTTTGGGACAACTTGCTACTGTTTTGTATGATTTCACCAGCTCTGAGCCAGATGAACTGTCAGTTAAGCAAGGTACTTTTGAAGGTTTTGAAAACATCCTTACTGCAACCTTTTCTTTTTTACATGTTTTTTTTTTCCCACTTTACATAAGATAAATATAATGCTATAAAGCTTTTACTTGACTTTTAGAAGCTAATGTAGACTTACAGACCATTTTTACACATTGGTTGTGATGAACCACTCAGGGATTGCCATCTGTCAGTTGTACCCCTGCATCACCAGTTTTGGACCTCCATACCTTTTTTCACCTTCCATTCTCCAAAACAGATGCCTGTTTTGTATGTCTTCTTGGTATGTACTGTTCTGATGACCCAGAACCTATTAATACACCAAAAGCTATTATGATTAGACTCTGCTTATTTGTATTTCTGTAGAGATAATGCATTGATTGTTAACACCACTGGAGAGTGAGTTAGCAGGCTTTGATGAGTAGGTTGTCTTTATTAAGCTCTTTTGTTTCTCCAGATTAGAGGAAAGTGATAGACATATTCAGTGTTCAGGCTCTATGACAAATTAAGGCCTGTTAAGTGTCCTCAGGACATAAAATGAGGATTTGTTCTGTTGTTCTAAGACAGTCAAAAATCTATTGGCAGCAAGATTCTGTTGAGAAATCATTGCTTGTTGCATTATGACAACATCAGTAGATAAGCTAGTCCAAGTATCGGGAAATATTTGATACACTGACTATAATATTGTATAAATTAATGTTTAAAATAAATGGGCTGTTCTTGTGTTAAAATAGCTCATTGCATAGCAGTAGTAATATGAGCTTCCTTGATTAGAATAAATATTATAGGATAAGAAGGATGATCAAGCTATATAGGCACCTCAGAAGATAGTTGGGCAGCCAGTTAGGATGACTTACCAACACTGATGCTCTGTATAACCACTCCACTTTCTAAACTACACAACTGTTTATCATAAGTGAGTTAGACATTACAACTTGTAATTATTTTTTCCAGCACCCTTATTACAAGCCAGAGTTGTGGAATAATATAGCCTCATACAAGCTTCTATGTTAACCCTTTAAATAAACCTATAAATTTTAAGTATTATTAAAAAATACTACTTTAACCCTTTCAGGGTCCAAGATTTAAAAAAAAAAAAAAAGTTTGTTATTTTTACTCATGAAATGGTAGAGAATCTTTTTCTGAAGGTAATAAAACAAAAAGTATGAGATTTGATGGAAAATTGATGAAATTACACTCGCGAATTTTACTGCATCAGTGATATTGTCCACTTTGACTCCTATTTTATACCAATTACATTATTCCAGTTGACCAAATTCTTAGCTATTTTGCTAGTATTACTTCTATTTTACCAGTTGAGCACAAGAAACTGCCCAGTCAACTATTTCAACTACCCAATAAAGTGATCAGACATTGGTAATTTGGCCAATTTCACACATTTTCAAAACAGGGGGCCAGAATAAACAATGCAGGCATTCCTGGCACTAAAATAATGTTTGCTCCATTTATTAGTTATGTTTCCAGGCTTTATAGATGAATTCTGTTTTGATTTTTTAATTACATTAAAAATTTTTATTCACACCAAAAAATAGAAGATTTACTGTTATGCAATATTGTAATAATTGCATAAATAATATCAGCGCATTTGTGAATGTATATTAGATCCACCAGTTGACGTGTATTGGATGTGTGACGTCATTTGTTTACTCTTGAACACCGGCAAAAATCAAACATTTCCGCTACCTTGAGCTCATTTTCAAGCTATTTTCAATAATAAAACAAATCAAAATCATCTCTATTCCTGTAATATATCTTCCATTCTATCAGATAAGACCAAGAAACCGTGAGTACAACCGTAAAAACCATACGAAAATACACCGCAAAGTCAGAGTTTTAATCCAAAAACACAGTTGCATTTTTCCCCCTCATTATGCACTGCATGCTGCAGGATTTGTTTTATATGGTGTACACTTACCACATAGATGCATTCTCTTATATCTAGGACAAAATTTACCACTCACAGCTTATCTAAGTGAGCTGAGCTCATGACGTAGAACTACGGCTTGGACCGTCAGAGGGTTAAGTCCCAGTAAACCAATTTAGTATCTTGCCAATGCATTAGATATTCCTTTGTGCTGCTGTGTATACACAAGTGTTGTTAGTGTCATCCCTGCTGGAGGCATTTTCATGTTCACAAATCCTCTAGGAAAAATCTCTCCCAGTTTCCCCCACATAAGCCTCGGTACAGTGCCCACAGGGGATGGTTTATACTTCTATTACCTTAGACGGAAGAAGAAAAGGCACAAAACTGTGACTGGAACAATCTACAAATAACCCACACATAGGAGAGAAGACATTATGATGACATTTCAATCTGTCTTGGAGCATTTACATTAAATGGAGATGTTTTTCTTGGTGAGCATCACCAGTTGAAGCTGTGGTAATAGTAGACTTTTATGTTACTTTTGGCAAAAGCTCATGTGATGTGTGTGTGTAGCTACATCACTGTTGAATAACTCCAGAAATTTTGAGTTATCTCTAGCAGCCGGTTCATTGTGTAGAATATGGCTTGAGCTCTGAATCTGCAATCCTGGATAAAGTGAGAGGGGAAGTGAAGATGTGTATGTGTCTGTTGAATGTAGCTGCATATTCCCCAAGAACTCAGGATACAGATACGTTGAGCCCTCGGGAAGAATGCTATGACCTTGCATTTTGTGCAAGACTCATGGTGTGAAAAGAAGTGTGCAAGGCCATATTTATTGGTAGGCTTCCTATAAACCTTGAAGGACACTGTATCTTTCTCAGGTCTGCCGGAGAGGAGAGTGTCAAGGAAGGGAAGCTTAGCATCAGCTTCAACTTTAAACTTAATGGTTGAGTCTATGTTGTTGATTTTGTATAGAAGTTCTTGTATGTTCAAAATGTCTGGGATAGAGGCCCAGGATATTGTCAGCATACCAGAGCCAAGAAACATATTGTCAGCATACCAGAGCCAAGAACCAAAGCATCTTCAGTGAATTGCCTTCTTTCTATAATTTTTGTTTTTAACACGTTGGTTGTCTCTCACCGAGGCAGGGTGACCCAAAAAAGAAAGAAAAACTGTCACCATCATTCAGTACTTTCACCATCATTCACACATAATCACTGTCTTTGCAGAGGCGCTCAGATATGACAGTTCAAATGTCACTCCAAACAGCCAATATCCCAAACCCCTCCTTTAAAGTGCAGGCATTGTACAGTACTTCCCACATCTAGGATTCCAGTCTGGCTAACCAGTTTCCCTAAATCCCTTCCCTACACTCTAACAGCTTGTCAGGTCCCAAAAAACATTCGTCTCCATTCACTCCTATCTAAAATGCTCACACATGCCTGTGTGTATGCCTTGCATACAAAACCTCTTTTACCCCCTCCCTCCATCCTTTCCTAGGATGACCCCTACCCCTCCTTCCCTCCACTACAGATTTATATTCCCTCTAAGTCATCCTATTTTGCTCCATCTTCTCTAAATGACCAAACCACCTCAACAATTCCTTTTCAGGCCTCTGAATAATACTTTTGGTAACTCTACACCTCTTCCTAATTTCCACACTACAAATTCTCTGCATAATATTTACACCACACACATTGCCCTTAGACATGACATCACTGCTTCTAGCCTCCTACTCTCAGCAGCATTTGCAACCCATGCTTCACACCCATATAAGAGTGTTGGTATCACTATACTCTCATACATTCCATTAAAAATGATTTAACTACCAGTACATTTTAAAAAAGTTAGATACAACTAGGTAAGAAAAAAAAGTCATGCAATAATAAAAGATCTATTGTTATACGTGTCTTTTTTCCACTTCTTGTTGGCCCACAGCCATACTCCAACTCCAAGATCATTACTGAAAGAATGTTCATAATTTTGTGTATTATTCTTTCTCGTTTGACTTACAGGTGATTATGTGAATGTAGTACAGGAGATGAATGGAGACTGGTGGCTTGTTCGCACTGCAGACATGAGGACCACAGGTCTAGTACCAGCATCATATCTTCAGCACTTGCCAGGAGGGTTTAGGCAAGAACAAGAAGATGAAATGGGCTCTGGAAAAGTATGTTATTTATCATTGTCAATGGTTTGTTATTTTATAATTTATTTTCTCTGGAACTTTTAATAATGAGTATTCCCTGTGTTAAATTTCTCCCTTTAAGATTTTTTTTGTCCAACAAGTCAGCCGTCTCCCACCTAGGCAGGGTGACCCAAAAAGAAAGAAAATCCCCCAAACGAAAATACTTTCATCATCATTCAACACTTTCACCTCACTCATTCATAATCACTGTTTTTGCAGAGATACCCAGATGCAACTGTTTAGAAGCGTATATAAAGATACAATATAAAAAGTGACCCAAAATAATATAATAAACTCCATATAGAATATAATATCAGGGCCCCAATTATATATATACCATCCTATTACACATCTCTCCAATCTGCTAATGTTCCAAACCCCCTTTAAAGTGCAGGCATTGTACTTCCCATTTCCAGAACTCAAGTTTGGCTGTATAAAAATAACCAGTTTCCCTGAATCCCTTCACTAAATATTACCCTGCTCATACTCCAACAGCTCATCAGGTCCCAAAAAACCATTCGTCTCCATTCATTCCTATTTAACAAGCTCATGCACGCTTGCTGGAAGCCCAAGCCCCTCGCTCACAAAACTTCCTTTACCCTCTCCCTCCAACCGTTTTGAAGACGACCCCTACCCCGTCTTCCTTCCCCTACAGATTTATATGCTCTCCATGTCATTCTACTTTGATCCATTCTCTCTTAATGACTAAATCACCTCAACAACCCCTCTTCATCCCTCTGACTAATACTTTTATTAACTCCACACCTTCTCCTAATTTCCACACTAAGAATTCTATGCATAATATTTACACCGACATTGCCCTTAGACAGGACATCTCCACTGCCTCGAACTGCCTCCTCACTGCAGCATTTAGAACCCAAGCTTCACACCCACTATACTTTCATACATTCCCTTCTTTGCCGCCATTGATAACGTTTTTTGTTTCTACATATATGTACCACTATACTTTCATACATTCCCTTCTTTGCTGCCATTGATAACGTTGTTTGTTTCTACATATATGTACCTCAATGCACCACTCACCTTTTTTCCCCTCATTTTAATTAATGTGGTGAGATATTTAAAGCAGCTAGTTTGCACTCTTATATTTATGTCAGTAGGCATTTGCTTGTCAAATATGAATAATAATATAATAATATCTTTATTTCTACAAGTGCATGTACAAGGCATACAGGCCTAACTGACATGAATGACTTACTATTGTATAGAAAGCTGCTTGTTATGCAGAGAATTTCGGGCAAATTAGGTCAGTTTGGTCCCAGGATGCGACCCACACCAGTCGACTAACACCCAGGTACTCATTTTATACTGATGGGTGAACATGGAGAGCAGGTGTCTTATGGAAACATGTTCTAATGTTATCCAGCCGAACCAGGGATCTGAACTCTGGACTTCAGTGTGTGAGCTGAGTGCGCTAGTGATCGAGCTATGGGACACCTAAAGAAATTTTCATGTATACAGGAGGGCCCCGTTTCTATGGCTGTTATGTTCCCAACCCCCAGTGATTGCGTTTTTTTTCAATGTTGAATGCATCTAAAATGCCTAATAACAAGTTTACAGTATCATATATTAAGTACTCAATAGTGCAAGGCATAAAAAAACAGATACAATACAAATGTAAAATAAATACACAGTACATACAGTACTTACCTTAAAATATGGCACCAGCTGCCCTTCTCTTATACAGCTGTTGTGTGAAAGCAGTGGAAAAGCAGAAAAAATACTGAATATGTTGAACAATAGCTCATTTGAAAACCAATAAAAATGCGGAACAGAAAGAGGGGTGCCTAATATACAGGGCCTTCCTGTACAACAATTTCTATATGTTGATACTTGAGTAGATTATTTGACTGTTAATCCTCTTTTGAACTTAGTTCCTTTTTTTTTTTTTTAACAAGTTGGCTGTCTCCCACTGAAGCAGGGTGACCCAAAAAGGAAAAAAAATCCCCCAAAAGAAAATACTTTCATCATTCAACACTTTCACCTCACTCATACATAATCACTGTTTTTGCAGAGGTGTCCAGATACAACAGTTTGGAAGCATATACAAAGATAAAAATCTCTCAGATATAACTTATCCCTCCAAACTGCCAATATCCCAAGCACCTCCTTTAAAGTGCAGGCATTGTACTTCCCATTTCCAGTACTCAAGTCCGACTATATAAAAATAACCAGTTTCCCTGAATCCCTTCACTAAATATTACCCTGCTCACACTCCAACAGCTGGTCAAGTCCCAAAAACCACTTTTCTCCATTCTCTCCTATCTAACACGCTCATGCACCCTTGCTGGAAGTCCAACCTTCGTTTCAGCTTTTCCGAGGACGACCCCTACCCCGCCTTCCTTACCCTACAGATTTATACACTCTCCATGTCATTCTACTTCGATCCATTCTCTTTAAATGACCAAACCACCTCAACATCCCCCCTTCATCCCTCTGACTAATACTTTTATTAACCCCACACCTTCTCTTAATTTCCACCCTCCGAATTCTGTGCATAATATTTACACCTCACATTGCCCTTAGATGGGACATCTCCACTGCCTCCACCCGCCTCCTCACTTCAGCATTTACAACTCAAGCTTTTCACCCTTATAAGAGTGTTGATACCACTATACTTTCATACATTCCTTCTTTGCCTCCATAGAAAAACATTTTTTGTCCACAGATAAATCAACGCACCACTCACTTTTTTTCTTCATCAATTCTGTGGTTAACCTCATCCTTCATAAACCCATACATTGACACGTCAACTCTCAAATACAGTATCTGAAAAACATTCACTTTTTCCCCAATATTCCTCTCCAATGTGATATCCTTTTTTTTCTTTATCAAATCATTTGATACCCTCATCACCTTACTCTTATCTGTGTTCACTTTCAACTCTCAAACCTTTACACACCCTCCCAAACTCGTCGACTAACCTTTGCAACTTTTCTTTAGAATCTCCCATAAGCACAGTATCTCAGCAAAAATTAACTGTGTCAATTCCATTTTGTATTTGATTCCCCTTAATTTAATCCCACCAATCCCTCGAAAACTGTCGGGCTGGGATGTTCCCCTTTTCGGAAAGCGTCGCATTATTTTTCTTCCAAACTTTGGCTCGCAAATGGTGGGTTTTTGACTTGCTAATCGTCATTCCTCCTGGATGCGTACTCAGGGCTCTGAGCCCCTTTTGCCCCTTTTCCATCCAGTGTGCCATTGTTTACCAGTGAGCGACAGTCCCCTCACTTGTTCACATGAAATATTTCATAATATGTACAGTGGAACCTAAAATATCGAACTTAATCGTTCCGGGAGTTAGTTCTAAATTCGAAAAGTCTGAAATATTTTCAATATTTCGCATAAGAAAAAATGGAAAAAAAACTAATCCGTTCCAGAAACCCAAAAATATTCACAAAAAAAAATACATTTCATAGAGATTAATTTTAGTTTTAACATACCCACAACAAATATAGTGTTCAATTATGAAACAGTTTTAAATAAATTTAAATAACATATAAAAAGAACTTTTTATTTACCTTTATTAAAGATTGGTGATGGCTTCTTGAAGATAGGGAAGGGAGAGGGGAGTTGGGGTTGTTTTTGGGAAAGGAAAGAATCCCCTCCTGAGGTCTTCGGGTTTCAAAGCCCTCTCTGGGGTTATTTCCCCTTCTGCCTTTTAATGCCACTAGGACTAGCTTGAGAGTCACTGGCCCCCTGTCTCACAAAAATAACTGTCCACAGTTTTCTGTTTCTGGGTGCCTCTTTAAGATTTCCCTAAAATGGGACATGGTTCTGTCACTGAACTTGTTGCAAAGATGGTTTGTTTCAGCTTGCTCAGGGTGGTACTTCTCCACAAATTTTTGGACATCATTCCACTTCTGTATTATTTCCTTCTTCACATCTAGGGTTTTTTCTCACTTTCTTTCCCACAGGGTACCACTAGCAAGTTTCTTTGGGCCCACTGTGCTTATTTCACAGTCCCACAAGCACTAAACACAATGAAATAATATAAAATGTTTGAATGAGAGCATCAACAAAACCAGACTGGCTCACGGAGCCTGCGTGGGGACGCAGACAGTGCGGGCTGCCGGACAGGTCCGGTGCCCAGCGGTTCGAAAATAGGGGCGAGCTCGATAATAGGACAAAGTTGGTTTGAAAAAAGGGTTCTATTTTCGAAGAATTCGAATAAGCGATACATTTGAAATTTGAGGTTCCACTGTATTCCCATCATTTTAGTGCTTGCAAGTGCTAAATAAACTACCATGGCTCCAAAGAAAGCTCCTAATGCTAAGCCTTTGGTAAAGAAGGTGAGAAATTGATTGAATTTAAGAAAAATACATTGAACAATGTGAAAGTGGGTACGTGTGGCCGAAAATGGCAAGGATATAAACAAATCCCTACAATCATATCTTCCTCGTGGCCCAAAAAAAGGAAATCAAGGAAGCTGTTGTTGCAAAGGGGGTAAATATGCTGACTTAAAAATGAGATAACCAGTACTCGAAGAAGTTGAGAAGTTATTATCGGTGTGGTAAACAAGAAACAATTAGCAGGAGATAGTCTTATGATGTTTATTATTTGTGAAAAGGCTAGCAGTTTTCATGAAGATCTGGTAAAGAAATTGCCTGCAAAGAGTACTGATATTTGTGAATTTAAGGCCCGCAAAGGTTGGTTTGAGAATTTAAGAAGCGTAGTGGCCCTACACAGTGTGGTAAGGCATGGTGAGGCTGCCCCGTTCGGACAAAATTGCAGCTACAAAATTTGTAAGTGAATTCAAGGAGTACATAGAGGCTGAAGGACTGAAAACCCGAACAAGTGTTCAATTGTGACAAAACAGGCCTCTTTGGAAGAAAATGCCAAAGAGGACCTACATTACTCAGGAGGAAAAGGGACTGCCAGGACACAAGCCTATGAAAGACGGCTGACGCTCATGTTCTGTGCTAATGCTAGTGGGGATTTCAAGTGAAGCCGTTTATAGT